GCCACGTCAGCGCCCAACAAACAGATTTTTTGATAGTGGTGGACTGAGAGGTAAATGGCAAAGTTGAGTGAGTACCGTGAAGCAGAATGAAGTTCGATGAGCAGTCCGTAACAACGGTATAAGTTCAGTGATGTTTGAAACAATTCACTCTACCCACCCCTATCCACCCAAACCTTAATTTTATAATCTCTCCCTCCTCTCTCTACGGTGCCGGAGCGACTGCCATATGAGAGGAGAAGTTGTTGCTTTGCCCGCTGCAGTTCGGCACCTCTGCTCACGGATGCGCAGCTCTAAGCAACGCCCCGTTGTATCTTTTCGAGTGTTGCTGTGTCGTGCCGTTCAATCCAGTGGTCATTTCGGGTGGATCGCAGTATTCAATCGGGTGGTTTCTCCGATGATTTTTGTAATGATTTTGCTTGTACACATAGATCGGTGGTTTTGTAGTGATTTTGCTGCATGTTTCTGGTGGTTTTTGAGGCAGCGGTTCGGTGATGTTAGTGTGTAGTGGTAGTGGTGGCTCGGTGGTGTTAGTGTGTGGTGGTAGTGATTAGAATTAAATCGTGTAAATTCAAACTAAGAAAAAATATAGTTAGGGGATAGCAAATTGCTGAATGCATTCAGCTGTTCCTGTAAAGTGGGGACGGAGATGGGTAATAGTGAGATGGAGCAATTTCTAAATTTGACTGGCAAACTATTCCAACAAAGAAGTGAGAGGAGGGTTTCAATTTAATTTTCCATTCTGTTTTGAATAGAAATAAACCGATTAAGAGTTTTGAAACTAGACACAATCTACTTCACCTAATATAGAACTTAAGCTTTGATCTCCAAAGTACCATTATTCTTTTAATTATATTAATTAGGAAAAACTATATACTGAATTTTATAGTAAATATGAAAGATAAACTAGTACGCGGTGGTTGGGTGCGGTGATGGTGACTGATAATCTTAAATTTGATTTTTTGGTTGTGGTGCTTGTGAGTTGGTGGTGGTGATTGGATGGGTCTGTCGAGGTGGTGGTGGATCTGATGCGAAGATGTGGTGATATTTTTCTGCGCTGTGCGATGTGTTGATTTGTTTGAAATAGTGTTGCGGCGAGAGATGGTGGTGGTTCTGACGATGGTGGCGGTGGCGCTGCTGGATGGAGTGGTGAGGTGGTGGTCACAAATTATTTGATGGATTGTGACCAATAAACACTATGTGATCAATTAAAAATATAAATTGTGAGCAAGAAATAATGTGTGATCTAAAAAATTGTTAATTTGTAATCGATAATTTGTCATTTTGTGACTGTTTACTAAGTTGTGACTTATAATATTTGTGATTTGTGATCGATAAATAAGTTGTAATGTATAAATTTTTTATTTGTGCCCGATGAACAAAATGTAATTTATAAAATTTCTGAATTGTGACCGTAAAATAATTTGTGACATATAAAATTTGTAATTTGTGACCGTAAAATAACTTGTGCCTTACAAAATTTTCGATTTGTGGCCAATGAACAAATTGTGATTTATAAAATTTTTGAATTGTGACCGTAAAATAATTTGTGACATAAAATTTGTGATTTGTGAAAGTAAAAGAATTCGTAACTTATAAAATTTTCGATTTGTGACAGTAAAATAATTTGTAACGTTTCAATTTTTGATTTGTGACCGATAAACAAATTGTGACTTATAAATTTTTTGAATTGTAACCATAAAATAATATGTGACATATGAAAATTATGATTTGTGATCGATTAATAATATGTGACCAATTATATGGAATTTGTGACCAAATTATATGAAATTGTGACCTTGATATATTTAGCTAATAAAATATATGTTTAATTAATTAATTTATAAGTAAATTTTTAAAAACTTCGAAATTTGAAATTTTAAACATAATATCTTAAATTTGAAATTGGTAAAACTAAAACTCTTATTTATGAAAATTTTTCTTTTTAAAATTAATTATGAAAGCCCAAATCCTTGACACAAACGGCCCAAACAAGTCCTACCAGTTCCTAATTCTAACGGGTGGAAATTACAAAAATCCCTACTTTAATTATTCAACATTCTAAAATCAGGTGCAAAGTTTAATCTTTCAAAAATTAGATATTTTATTTTAATTAATAATTTTATAAAAGAAATATTTTTATTAAATATAATCATTCCTAACCCTAATCACTTTTGATATTTTTTTCTCTCTCCACCCCTCACTCATCTCTCAACACTGTCAAGGCGTCACTCATCTCTCTCACGAACACTACCACCACCGCTATGAAGAGCCACCACCACCACCGAACAAGACGCCACCACATCCCGCCCTCACTCATCTCCCTCACGAAAACACGGTTGCCCTAACTCATCTCCCTCATGAAGAACACTATTGTCGCCGCATCTACTTGTTTGTCCACTTCGGTGAGTTTAGCACTCCTCCTTTCCCTCATAGTGGCTGGTCGTTTTGCCTCCACAATCTTCTCCTCAAAGTGCCCAAACGTCGATTTCACACTTGCCAACTTTTTTATCTTCTCTGGAAGCCTTGTCGGAATCTCCCCCGAAGCCGACTCAGTATCAACTTGGTTCTGATAAATTGAACGCCTACCAGTTTACTATATACTTTTAGAGTGATGTCACGTTGGTGGTGGCGATGGGCGGCGTCATTAACGATGGTACGACGCTTTTAGAGTGGTGGAATATAGTGTGGGTGTTTGTGACGATTTTATTGGTTGATTGAAATTTGTGAACAATGTGGCGGCGATGGTGGTGGTGGTGCTATTGGAGGCAGCGATGAAGTGTTGGTAAAAAAAAAAATCACGTAATGAACTAACTGTGACCTTAAAATTCGACATTAGTAACTAAAAATTAATCCGTGACTAATAAATTTGAAAATATGTGATTGATAGATAACTGTGGTCTGTAATTTTTTTTATTTGTGACTAATAAAATAATATGTGACTTATAAAATTATTGATTTGTGACCTCGAAATAATCTGTCACCTGCAAAGTTTTTGATTTGTGACCGACAAACAAATTGTGACCTATAAAATTTTTGAATTGTGACCTCGAAATAATTCGTGACGTATAAAATTTTTAATTTGTGACCTCAAAAATAATCTGCGACCATATTGTATAAGTATGTGACGGTTACCAGAATAGTCGTCGAAATCGGATTAGTTGCTGGAACGGTTATTGGAATGGTCGCCGGAATCGGAGAAATCGCCGGAATGGTCGCCGGAATCGGAGAAATAGTCCCCGAAATGATCGTTGGAGCGGTAGTGGTGGTGGATGTGGGATGTGTTATATATATATATCGGTGTGATTCGTGACCAAATGTGACCGTATAATGGACTATTCATGACCTTAAAATTCGACATTTGTGACTAAAAATTAATCTGTGACCAATAAATTTGAAAATATGTGATTGATAGATAACTGTGATCTGTAATTTTTTTTATTCGTGACTAATAAAATAATATGTGACCTATAAAATTATGGATAAATCTAAATGTACAAAATGTTTTACCTAATGTTTTACTAATTGGACACTTGGCGCCTCCTTGTTGGAGGTGGCAG